TAGGATCATTGACCTTTGTAGCTTCCTCGGGTCGTTTTGACTGAGGTAAATCAACAAGTTTCAACCTTGTCAGTTCATCAAACATCGGAGAAACATCTGATTCCAAGAAAGGATATTGCTTCTCCATCATTTCTCGCAAAGTCGGCTTGACACGCCCAGAGGTCTCAGGTTCAACTCTAGCAACCTGTTTTGCCTTCTCGGTGGTTCGAGTGAAGACTTTGACTGGTGAAGCTTTCACAACCATTGCTTCTTTCTTTTCAAATTTAGAGAAGGGTTTGCCCCCTTTCTTGGTATCTTGCTTTTCAGCAGCATTGTTCATGGGATATATGCATGTGGCTTGTCTTCCACTGCTTGCAATGCTCAACTCCATGTTACGAGCTTTGCTTGCTAATTCATCAAAAGTAGTTGGATTTACTCCTTTCAGAATGTAACATAACTCCCAATGCATGCCTTCAATGCACATATCAATTGCAGAGTTTGTAGAGATCCGATCTTTGCTGTTGAGGGAAAGTTCCCTCCAACGTTCAATGTAGGTTATCACGGGCTCATCTTTCCACTGGCGAGTAGTTGTCAACTCAAGCAAACTCACCACCCTCCTTGTGCTATAGAAACGGTTTAGGAACTCACGTTCCATATCTTGCCAGCTGTCAATGGAATCGGGCTCCAAGTCAGTATACCAATCAAATTCATTTGCTTTCAAAGAGCGCACAAATTGTTTGACCAGGTGATCCCCGCCCGTTCCCGCATTATTGCAAGTTTCTACGAAATGGGCAACATGTTGTCTCGGGTTTCCCTTTCCATCAAACTGTATGAACTTTGGCGGCTGGTAGCCGACGGGCATCTTCAAATCCTCGATCCTTTGGGTGTATGGCTTAACATAGGAGTAAGTAGACTGCTTTCCTTCTATCTTCCCCTTTATGGTTCCCATGATGAAGTCTTTGAGTTGATCAATCGGGATCATGCCCCCAGAGGTTGAGATGTTCTTTCCCGAATCCTCTTGGTGAGAATCATTATCTTCATGCACTTCGGGATCCTTCTCATGGGCATGACTTGTCTCGCCTTTCAAGCTTTCCACTTTGCTGTTAAGATCATTCAACTTCTGATCTTGAGCTTGCATGAACATGCTCATCCCCTCGATGACCTTAGTTAGATGGGCAATCTGTTCTTCCATAGATGTGGTGCTTGTCGTCATAGTGGACATCACAGTGTAGACATTTGACCACTGTGGGGTAGTTCTTCGTGGAGAAGTTGATGGAGAAGTAGAGTCTGAACCAGATGATGAGCTTTCACCACCGTTTGTCCACTTCGGGGAAGTAACTTCCCGTATGGATGAAGAAAGCTTACGGGCCACCTCTTGCGCAGTTTGAAATCCATTCACCGCACCAGGAGTATCTCCCGAAGATGACTGCGCAGACATCATTCTTGATCGGTTCCTAGTGATAGGGCCTTGCATGTTTTGATTCGAGCTTGATGACGCTCGAGAATTCAGAGTGAACACGGGCTTGCTTGATGCCATGGGTTCGTTTTCAAAAGTGAAGAGATGAGAGGTAGAGATGTCCCACTGGGCGTGCCAAAAATTTGTGAAACAAATTTTAAGTATCTACTTAAAATTGATCGCAAATAATAATATGTGAGAATATTGGGTACAATCTCTAAATATGAATCCTCTGATTCTTCACTTGCAATTTGAAATAAATATAATTAAAGAAATTAATTCAAAATTAAATCTTTAATTCTTCAAATATTCGAACGTTCGTGAGATCTTCAAATCTTCGAACCTTCGTTCTTCGAATCTTCAAACCTTCAAAGTTTTGTTCTTTGAATCTTCGAATCTTCGTTCTTTGAATATTCTTGAGTTAAGAATTCAGCTTGAAGGGCCTCCGGTTTTCAAGTGGCTTGATCTTCAACAAAAGGGCCGTTTTATGGTTTGATCTTCTGTTTAAGGGCCTCCCGGGATATGTGGCTTGATCTTCAATTGAATCTTGATTCAATCTTAATATGAATATCTTCAAATCTTCAAAGTTTCATTCTTCATATCTTCAAATCTTCAAAGTCTTTGTTCTTCAGATCTTCGAATCTTCAAGCTTCGTTCTTCAGATCTTCGAACGTTCTTCAACTTTTGGATTTATTTTATTAAGAATCGACGAAATCACAAAGGATTATTCGTATATTCTTAACAAAAATCGTGGCTTGATCTATTCCTCTTCTTCGGGATCGTTCAGAGCCTTACGGGAGTTCTTGAGAGCTTTTCTGCAACGTTTCTTCGTCTGAAAATTCTCCTCCCTTTTCTCTCAACTGAGACCCCTATTTATATGTGTGGAGGGGGTGAAATATGTTTTAGGGTTGCAGAATTTCGTCCATACCTCATGGGCCTCAAATAAAATGGGTTTTGGGCTCTATTTGCTTGCATTTAATAGCCAGAAAAAATCAGCACTTGTTCGATGTATCTGGACAGCCTTTTTAACGAGGTTCGCAGCCATTTTCCATGCATACGGATGGATTCCTTAACCATATTCATTGCTCTCTTTATCAATTGGATCATGACTCTTATTCATTGAGCTACTATTTAATAATGGGCTCAAAATAAAGAAATCAATAGGACCGGTCCATTCTTTTCAAAGAATTAAATTAATTGGATATGAAATGTTCTAAATTAATTAAATTATATTCGAACAGATCCATATTAATATTTTCTCTGAACTTTATGAGTAGCCCGTTATACTTGAGTTTGATCCAATAGCATCTAAAAGAGGCCCAATAAGGTCAATAGTAGCTCGATACCGTTTGAAGAGGTCTAATGACTATCAGAACTGGCCCAATAATTTTTAGATGTCCACATTGATCTGTTCATCTTTATGTGCAAGTATTGTCATTGTTCCAATTGCAAAAGGTTGATAAACTAGGGTAAGCACTCTTGATGGATGATAATTCTGAATAAACATGAAAAAATCAAATTAATTCTCCTTTTTACACTATATTATTAACCGTAAATAAATTTCGACACCCATTCATACATTAAAGATGGAGAGATTCTCACCGGAAATAATTGATAATAGTAATCTCCTATGGTGAGCATGCTATTCCAAGCCACAAGAGAACCAAGCCCGAGAAAGAAGCAGACTGTCGTTCCTATCAGTTTCCCCTGAAATTCGAAAACCCTTTTGATTATTTTCTAGATAACATAATTTCAGACATTCACAGAAGGAAAAAAATTAAAGCTTTCTTGAATGACAATAAAAACAATAAGCTTAAGCCTGGTTGGAGTTCCTGGCGATTCGTCAATAACAACGCTAGGTCAGAGATAACAATTCAAAGATAGGGTGTGTCAGAGATATTATTTGGCGCGTCACCAAAACCGACGTACGTGGCTTCATCCGCTGGGTCATTCACCGGATAGCTTGAGGTTCGTTTGGGGTAAAAAGAGTGAAGAAAACTGAGGAATTCCGTTAGTTCACTTCTAAGCTAAAATAGACGGCGAAATGCCCAACTTAACCGCGTTCCAGGCTTTATATATATATAGCGATGATCAACAAATGCAGATGAGATTGGTAGCGACATCAAAGGAGAGAAAAACTCTCTTCCGGAAATTCATGGATTGAGTCTCAATTTGGAAGAAGATACACGGTAATTGCTTATGTACGGAGTAATTTATCCAAGGGTAAATTTGTAGTTCTGTACTTCAACAAATTATTACATTAAAATCCCTTTTTTACCAAATACTCCAATTTTAACTTTTTTACATTAATCAACTCTATTCTAAAACACAGACAATTTTTATTAATAATCACTTTCTCTAAAATCACTTCAAAAAGTAGTATAAGCAATCACAAACACTGCCTTAATCACACGTAAAAACACTTGTTTATTATTTAGTGTGTATAGTGTACGAACCCTGAAGTTATGCAATCATTTTTCGTGTACACAAAAGGTGTACCATGTACACATTTGGCACACTCTCATATGTACATAGACAATTGTTGTCTTTTCTAAACGAGTTGCCCATGTATACAAGCAAGTAGGAGTGTAAATATTGGGATAATTTGAGTTTGCACCCCACTTTATTGTCGAAATTAGCCTTTGCACCCCGTTTTTGAAATCCTTGGTATTTGCACCCTAACCCCGTATGAAAAGACAAGAATGCCCCTTGATCAGAAATATGTTGAAGGCCAACAAAATTGTTAACTGAGGGGCATTTTAGTCTTTTCATACGGGGTTGGGGTGCAAATACTAAAGATTTCAAAAATGGGGTGCAGAGTCTAATTTCAACAATAAAGTGGGGTGCAAACTCAAAATACCCCGTAAATATTTTATGTATATTGTACACTCATATGTGTACACAGATAATTGCTCCATTTTTCTAAACGAGATGCTTGTATATACATGCAACCAGGGGAGTGCGTACACATTTTGTGTACACATTTCGTGTACCAATAAATGTTTTTTTCAAGTTACGTATCCAAATTCATCCCTATCGACTTATCGAGCAAAGGGACAAAGGTCAAAGGTTCCATCTTACATCTTTTTTCTTATTTATATAGATATATGCACATACTTTTTTCGTATAACTTGTTTAATAACCTAATAATAAGAACATCTAACATGTTCGAGTTTAGAAATCATTGCACATTAGTGCATAAATAAACATAAAGTGTAATACTTTCCTAAGAATGCATTTGCATTATGAAATGTCTCAACGCTGCTAGTCTACACTCTACTACAAAGAAGTATCATAGAAATTCACCATTTATTTTTAAAAGTCACTATTTTGCATCACAAAATCTCTTTAAAAAAATGAAAATCTATTTTTAAAAGGAAAAGGTTTCCAGGACACTATTTTTAAAATTATTTAATTACATAAATGAGCTCGTAATGTGATTATGTGAATTTGAAGTTTCCAAATTGAAAACGTGAGCTTAGGAGAGTTTGCATACTTTATAAGTTCTAACATATGTAAACTTTGCACTATTAATTTTATTTATCCACATTTGTATTTCCTGTTTGCACAAACAATAAAAAAGGTAAAATTTTAATCATACACAATTCAACCCCTTTTGTGTATCTCAGTCTCTCAGACCAGTTTTACAAATTGCAAACATCAAAGTGAACATAAAACTTGAGACAGTTTAAGTAGGGAATTTTTGCATGAGGCGCAAAGGCTCACGGGATGTAAATTAAAACAAGTTTGAAACAAAGTGTCACAAAGGAAGACATTCAGAGACTAGAAATAATAAAAGTACGCATTCAAATGATATTCTATCACAGCACTATAACAAAATCTCTACCAAGAACGAGAAATCACAGCTCAAGAAGCAGCAGTAACGGATCTGTGGGTATTAGATTTTGTTTTGCGGCCCCACACTGGATTCGTCTCGATAAGCTTATGTGGGACCAGCCGTTGTTCACGTTTTGTGAGCTTCCGGAAGTTGCTCACTTTCAGTTTGGCGATCTCAGCCTCCTCATTTGGTGTAATCTCCCTCACTACAACTGTCAGTCTACACCGTGGTCTTTCCATCACGCCAGACCTACCCTTAGCGTGGTAGGATACTCTCTTCAAATAGAGTCCTTTCCCAACAAATGCCTCCGCTACACCAAAATGTAAATGTAACAAAAGTTATGCTCCCTCCCATCACCCATTATTGCCATTATGTAGCATTGCATACATTCAGTTTGACACTATTTACAAAAAAATGGGGGGTGGCTATTATTTAATAGTTTCAACATTATAAAAAGAGGAGGTAATCTGTGGGTCCCACAAAAGTGAAAACGTGAAAAGATGGATACATAAGGACAAAGTGAAAAATAAATATGTTAACAGAGGATTAAAATTAGAAAATGAACCTAATTTTGGTCAGGCTTTTACAAATGAAAGAGTATATAAATAGATGGGTTATAGAGTAGATATTTTGCACTTACCAACAAGAAGACGGTCTGGATCTAATCCATGATTGTGGGTGGCATTTGCACGCGCTGAATGTATAACCTACATGCCATAACTTCACATTACAAGCATGTCTGACAGATATTTTCATAAATACACTTTAGAAGTTGGTTCATGGCACATAAGAGAATAACTTGAACTACTCTAACTCCCTTTAAGGGTCCATTTGTTAGGATTGTATAGGAGATATTTGGAAGGATAGAAAATGTTGAGGAAAATAAAACATTGGTTCAGATTCAATAAAAGTGTCTTGAATTTGTTCACTCTTCATTAGAGGTAGAACAAAAACAATCTTTCATTTCCTTAGTATCACCCAAGTTCTAAATGACCCTAACTGTTACGAACGAAGTAACTTGTGAAAAATGTAGACTGAGAAAATAAGTCAGCAGAAAATGTTTTCATAGAACATGTTTTGTTTGAAACTATGTTTTTTATGTATATTATATTATTATATAAATATATAATCTAACCCCTCAAATATAGAGTAATAAAATTGTTTGAAGAGAATAACTTCCTATTTTACAAAAGGGGGTCAATTTCCACATAAATCTAAAGAACAAATCCGTGGAAATCCAGTGCCAAACACATGAAGACCATTCCTGGAAAAAATGTTTTCTAGTGTAGTAGTGTACAACACCGGAAAATCAGAAAAGAATCAAAGATTTCACCTTTTCTTTTTCATGGGAACAAACATAGCCTATGTCCTTCCCGCTCAGCCAAAAGTCCAAAAAATGATCACCAGTTATTATCAATCAGCTATCTCACCTGATAAACAGTTTTAGCAGCTCGCTTGACTGTCACTTGCAACTGTAACAGTGCATCTTCAACACGCATTCCACGAACTAATGCGGCAACTAGGTTCACTTTTTTTGGACTCTGCAAACCACTCCCAATCACAGAGAGAGAAAGCTATTAAATTTCATTCTTAAAGAAGGTCTTGAAATAGACATATTAAAAATTAAATAAGTTAATGATGTCTTCGAGTCTAAAACGAGACAAAGAAGAAAAAACAAAGCCAGCTTGGGAGATCATGGCATCTAATACTATCCCACGATATCGAAGAATTAAATAAACAAAGAAACAACAAATATATCTTTAACAATAATGCAAACAAGTAATAGAAGCAAAACGCTAGAATAGAAAATTAGAGATCCGGCTGATCGGGTCTCTTATTTCTCAAGTCATATTTTATAAGGGATGAAGGGTCTGTTATTCACTTATTCCACACCTGCTTTATTCCCTTCAATACTGCCTGAACTGTTGAGGGCTTCAAAATTGTTTTCCCAGCTTCAGTTTTACCATCACCTGACGCTGCTATAAGAGGTGTTAATGGGGAAGATACGGGTGTTACGTCATCAAGCAATTTTCTTGAGCTACTAATCCCCTGCAATAAGGAGGGTATTTCTTTCCATTATGTACAAATTTTGATAATATTTCCCTTCTTTCTAGAACCCTTGTAACTTTAACCCCCTCCCTTGTATAGTCGGTTTGGATATACATACACATCCATAAAAAACAAAAGAGGGCTGACATTTCTTTTAAACTTACCGATGTTTGTAGAAATTGGAAATGTGTCCTTGTGATGGAAGGAGAAGGCAGATTTCTCAGGCTATTGGAATAAGGCACCTGACCTAGAACACACATTGAATTCATCCATAAGGAAAGTTAATATATTTTGCATGGAGTTAATTAAGAAGTGAAATTGAAGAACACAAATTCAGTTTAATAGGACTATATGCATTTCACATTCAAACTCTCAAATTTCAAATTCCAAAGCAAATTTTATAGAAAAATAATCTTTTTTATTCCACTATTCATGATGTTTGGTTTATGAGTTCACTCTACGATATAATCAGAAATATTAAATCGTGCTTCAGGAAAGAAGATTACCAATAACTTGAGGAGCCTTTGAGTGCAAGTGGGAATTAAAAGGAGAACTGTGAGAATGCTCAAATCGTCTCCAAGCCTGACGCAGTAAAGACGGCAGATTCCGTCTCCATTCCACCATTTCTTCAGGTTAGAGAAGTATTTGATGAATAAGAATTCTACTAACACTAGTGCAAAAACTGGAAGGACAACACAGGTTTGAGATGTTAATCTAGCCAATTTAATAGATATATTATATGCATTTAATCGAAAACGTATTGGTAGGGTGCAGGGCCGGTCCTGAGGAAATGGGGACCCTGTGCAAGCAAACAAATTGGGCCTTCCTTTCCAAACCAAGTAGCAATTGAACATAAATAAAGATATACGGAGTAATAATGATAAATTACTGATAATTTATGTTAAAATAGAAATTACTGTTTACTAATAAAGTAATGTCGTAATGAACATAATAGTAAAAATAAAAGTATTCACTAACCTTTCGTTTTGACCTTATTTAGATGCAAAGTAATCTACCAAACTTTCAATGTCAATAATCTATTTGAGTGTTTCAAACTCTTTGAAACATAATTACTATCAATTATTGAATTCATCCACTAATCTTCTATATGTTTACAAAATTTAAGTTACAAGTTAAAATAAATTTTGAGTTAGGGACTAAATTTTAAACCCAAAAAATACTTATAAACTACTCCAAATTAAACTTATTATAGTGTAAAGCTGTAAATAATTGCAAAATTATTAAATCAACAACCTAATAACATATTATCATACTTTTACGAATTTGGAATTTGTGAAATATAATTACATACAATACTTAATAACTTAATTAAATAAATAACAACCTAATTAGTAATTGTGATTAAAAAGATAAAATTCAGAAAACATTACCTGGTTGGCTGGTATAAGCTGGTTCAGCAATCAGCACTTCAGCTACTCAACGTCTCAGTGAGCCCTGCGAGGTTGCGACCGCGGAGGGCGGAGCGGTGGAAGCTTTTCAGCGGAGTAGGGTCTGAAGCCTGGAGGCGTGGCGCGGTGGCGGCGATTGAGGCGTCGTCCGAGGGTCCGAAATTCCGATTCGTCCTTCGCTTGTTTGCCTATTGTTTGCTGATTGGGAATTTGTGCGCTGATATGGTGGCCATCTGCGTCGGCTTCCAGAACTGATCAACTGATGTTGCTGGAAAACGAGGAGGCATCGGTTGGGCTTTGTTTACGGACCTCATAGCATAGGAAATGCGGATATGACTTGGGCCTTCAGTTCTCTTTTACTGCCTCCTATTTCTATTAAAGTTCTCACTTTATTTTTTAGGATGTATCTTATTTAAATTCACACTTCCATTGTAAGAAACAAAACAGTACCAAACAGTGTCCTAACAGTGCAAAACAGTGCCAAACAGTGTCCAAACAGTGTCAAACAGTGCACTCCACAGTAAAGTCAAATTTATTTTCTTAATCTGTATGAAGTCAAACTGAGAACTTTAATAGGAATCGGAGGGAGTATGAGGTAGGAAGTATTCCCTCCATTCGGCTAACAATGGTACAAGGAGGAGTGACACACAATCAATAAAAAGTGTTTTATGTGGTTGATATTGAATTGATAAAGTAAGAATGAAGTAAGAGTAATTTAGAGCCACACAAAATTTTGTCAAATTTGATGAGACAATCTTAGTGGCACGGACCGATAAGGTAAAACGGGACAATCATAGCGGGACGGATGTAATAGTAAGTTTAGAGTTAAATTTCTCAAAATCCAAAATTGAATCAAAATAAAACAAAAAACTGTAACAAAATTAAACTGAAACACAAAAAACTGAAACCAATTGCAAAAAAACTGAATTGTATCGTGGTTGTTTGGTTCGGTTTCAATGGATCAGTCCTATTAAACTCTATTTAAGTAGTAGCTCAATATATAAGAGACACTATCCAATTTATGAATGGAGTGATGAATATAGTTAAGAAATACTTCCTTCCTTCCTTTTTTAATTCCATGTCCACCGTTAATGTGTTTCGTATTCCACTCATTCATTCATCATCTATTAAAAATTACTTCCAAATTCAACTCATCCATCATGAACGAGTTATCGGATGGATCGAATGAGTAACAGGTGAATATAAATAGTCTAACTTTAATCAATATCTGGGGCATAAAAGTTTATTTGGGTACAAGTTTTATCACACACATGAACGCAAGAGATGATGAACATACATGAACGTCTCCATGGGGTACTTTCATGTATAAAAATTTTGAAACTGGTAATCTTATCTTTTACATCATAAAAATGGATTTATATTGCCGCATTGCCTCTGTTATAGCCTTCTCAACACATAGCCTTTCCAAACTAGAAACAAATTAAAACCCATGAACTCCTTTGGTTCTTTTCAGAACATATTCTTTTTTTTTAAGAATTTATTCACTAACGACGACAAAATCTTGAGCAATTAGGTCTCCTTAATTCATTGCAGATGAAGAAAGAACCGATTTTCAAACAAAATAGATACAAAACATTTTCAAGCTGTAAAATTCTACATTTTTACATTAGCACAAAACTATTTTTGTAGTTCAACTGCCAAACATATCATACTATATCTAAGGTCCTGTTTGGTTGGAGGGTTTCGGAGGAGATGGGAGGAAAGTGAGGGATTTGTATGTGTTTGGCTGAATGAAATAGGGGGAAGAGGAAGAAAGTGGAAGGCTTTCAAAATCCTCCACTTCCTCCCATTCTAAACGCCCCAAATCGGGGTATTTCGGAGGACACATGTTGATAACCACAAACTATCCATCTCCTACGTGAATGAATAAAACGTTATAATATAAAAAACAAAAAGTTTTGAAAAATTAAAATAAAAAATTAAAAATTTAAAGATTAAAAAATTTTAAAAATTAAAAATTAAAAATTTTAAAAATTGAAGAATTTAAAAATTATAAATTAAAAATTTTAAAAATTAAAAATTAAAATATTTAAAAAATAAAAATTTAAAATTAAAAATTCCAAACTGAAAAATGAAAAATTATAAAATTAAAAAGGTAAAAAATCAAATAAAATAAAATTCTGACACATGACCATAGGAGTAATATTCACAATAGTTACTCAGTTAGACATGTATCTATTTTTTAAGTAAACTATCAAATAAAAGTAAATTGTGAAAATATTTTCATTAAACCTTTTCTCCTATTTCTTTCAACCAAACACAAATTTTTATTAAAATCCTTCTTCCCCTTCCCTCCTTGACTCTCCCCTTCCCTCCCCTCCTTTGAACCAAACAAGGTCTAAAAGGAGAATCCTTTCTTCAAGAATTTCGCGCTTCTCTCTCCCATTATTATCAGTATTAATGCTAATTATTAATTATTATAACAATGATAATAATGGATGAAAGCCACCTTTAATCAAACACACGGAAGCAAATCATATATTTGAAATGCTAAACATCCTTCTCCACGATGAATATTGAGCTATTAACACGTCTAGAATCAGAAATTGTTCGTTGTAATCTTATGGCCCTCCATTTATGTATTCAATAGCACCTAAATCTGTCAATGTTTAGTCTTATACGTTGATTCATATTTATCTCATAATTTAATTCTTTAATTACCTTAATTGAGAATAAATAGTAAAAGGTCTTTTTATTCAAATCTTACTAAAAAGAATGAAAAAGACAAAAATGTGAACTGTTTTAAATTTTTCCAAAAAAGTGACTAAAAGTCATTTAATCCTATTATTTAATAATACATTTGTTATTTTAATAATATTTCTTTGCAGCTGGACCGCTACTGGGCCGAATACAAAGCCTCTAATGGGCTGTACAAATGGGTAAGTATAGAATCCGATTCTGGGAGGTCTTCGTGGCCGACGAGGGCGTGGCCGACGAGGGCACGGCCGACGAGGGCGCGGCCGACGAGGGCACCCGAGTTCCTTGGGCTCAGGACCGTAATCTGAGTTGGCCCCTTTTCGGCCGACGGGGGCGTCTTGGCCGACGAGGGCGCCACTCTGTTGTCTTGTGCTTTCTGTTCTTCCGAGTATGTGGGTCCTGGGGCTCAGACCCATATACTCCATCACTCTTCATGTCCCAATGTTAGTGGGAGGGAGGTAGTCTATCAAACCTCAATCACACCTTTTAACTTAATCACTTTATTAATAATTGTGCCAAATCAAAACAAGACAAATAAAATGGGCCAAATGTAGTAGTAATTAATTATCGTTCATCAAGCTTCTTTCATCTCTAATCCGATAAAATCTATTATGAGCTATATGTATCCCACTATCCCGGTTTTTGGAATATGGAGATACTCCTTATTTTACTTCGTCCATTATTTACCCATGAAGGTTGTATGCGACAGTATCAAGGGTTACAAATCGATTTGAAGTAAAATTCATGATATGTGATTATAAATGAGAGTCTTACGATTCTACACTTCATATATTGTATAAAGAGGTCTTTAAATTTTTAACAATGTCATTAAGAATGAAATTGAAAAACTTAAAGTCTAGATATGGGGAAAAAATGTGACGAGGGCTGCAAACGAAATGCAACACTAAAAAGTAGCTTAAACCGGTAATTACCACATTTTATTACAAATGCTCATATCGACCCTTTCGTTTTTATAAAGGGAAATTCTAATAACAACATCTTTTTACTAAATACAGCCACACAATTCCATAGTTTCTATTGTGCCCTTAATAATACCCAACTTCATACAGGTCTCCGTAGGCAAATCACGTGTGTCTGTGTATTGTAACAACGTGCGGCCAAAGGTTTCCTTGTCTCCGGTGTGCGGCCAAATCTCCTCTTATAATGGAGATTTTCAAACATTATTCTATTTTACTTAGATCCATTCTTTATGTAAGAAGAATGAAATCCCAGCAAATAGGTCCAACGTGGCCATGGCCGACACTCTCAAACCTCAAAAACTCTTTCGATTTCAAACACTCAAATCTTAGGCCATTAGTTCTTGTGATTTCGATGTTTGGAACCGTTTTCTCTTTTAATTTTTTTAACTTATTTGAAACTAATGTGAATCTGAGAGATAGGGGAGTTGAATTTGAAACCAATGTTTTTGAAATCATTGGAATATGAAACAAGATGATCTCCGCTCTAGACTCTAGTGATATGACACCAACGTGGCAGAAGGTAAAAAAATGGACCTGAAAATTCTGCAATTCTCTACTCAAGGAGAAGAATGATTGCCAGAAATTTTAATGACGTTATGAACGACACATCAAAGCTATGGATTCCGGCAGTGACTTGTTATTGACGATGCAAATGTTCGGCGGCCTCGACTTCTCCCATACTCCCCACCGCCCGAATCCTCTGTATGATGAACCCGTTGTTTCCCTTTTATGAAAAAACAGTACAATAAAATGTGGTTGATCCAGTATTTCCAAATGTGGTTGTGTTTAATAAAATGTGGTTGTGTTTCATATTCCCCACCGCCCGAATCCTCTGTATGAAAGAACATAACAGTAATTATGAAAAAAATGTGGTTGTGTTTAATAAAATGGTGGCTGAGAATAGAACTTCCCTTTTATAAATTGAGCTTAGCCCGAACCTTTTAGTTTTGGGCCGGTGTGGCCCAGCCCAGCCTGTTGATGGGATATAAATCATATAATTATGTTCTGTTTGTGAGAAGTCCAGCACCAAAGATCCAGTCGTCGGGGTGTTGACGTCCAGCCTGGATCGGTTTAAGTCCCGTTGACAGCCTGGATCAATTTCAGTTCCATCTGGATCCCGTCGAGTCGCAGGCCCGTCTGTTGAAATCCCCGCCGTCTCCATTGAATTTCCGTCGCCATCGGGTAAGCCTTCTGGTTGCTGGCTGCATCTGATCTCCTGATTCTCCTATGGACGCTGCTGGAAGGATCCGAACAGTATAAAAGGCTCTTCCAGTCTTCCCCTTGAATCAGGTAGCCTTACAGTTGCTCCTTCTACAAAATCAGTGAGCTCTTATTGTAATAGGCCTTGATTCAGAAAGACAATTCTGTGTTTGTATTTAAATATAAATGGGATCTTTTCCTGGGCATGTATTGCCAGGAACACTGTTTCTTGTGGTTGGGGTATGGCATGTGTGGTGCGCAATAGTGAGATATGTCTCCAACCCCAAATCTTTCCGAGTAAGGGCTTGGAATCCCGTTATGGGTATCAACGGAAAGCTGAAGTACTTGGAGCTTTATGTCATAGCAATTGGAGGTTTAATCGATTTTTGCATAGAATTGTTTTATTCAACCCACCTCAAGCTCTTCGTTAATGGAGTTTTGAATCCCTCCCATATGAATAACTTTGAGCATGCTGGCATGCTTCTCATGTTCTTTGTGTTTGGGGTTATATCACTACTCTCTGAAACAAGCAGCAACATCCTACCCTTGCCAGATGGAGCTTTGTGTTTGATTGCTTCCACGGCATTCTGCGCCGAGTATTTTCTGTTTTACTTTCACTCGACAACGCATAAGGGTCTCGAGGGTTATTACCATCTCATACTTGTCCTACTTATAGGTCTCTGCATAGTGACCACCATTGCTGGGGCTGTCTTGCCGACCAGCTTCCCTGTTGATCTGTGTAGCGGGATCGCGATCACACTTCAGGGCCTATGGTTCTATCAGACAGCATTCACCCTTTATGGTCCAATGATGCCTCATGGATGCACCCTCAAGGGGAATGACGTCTCGTGTCTATCGGTAGATAGCCAAGTCCGGGGTGAGTTGCTAGCAAACTTCCAACTCTTCGGTTTGGTCCTTGGTGTCATCTCTGTTGTTGCAGGCGCATATGCTTTTGCTGTTTCTAAATTTGGTCAACAACCTGAAGTTAATACATACACAAGATAAATGGTAGATAGAAGCATATATTTGTTTGCTGTAATTCCCAAACTGCATGTTGGCTTCTTTGTCTTCAATTTCAGTGTTTTTTATCTGATGAAGACTTGATAGAATGATAGATGTAGACAAGAAGTACGGACTTGTTCTCTCATTCCTTCTTTTGGGATATTTCCTATGAGAGGAGGCATCCCAGTACTTTTCTTTGCTTTTGTGCATATGGATTAGCTCTAGTGAGACATTGGCTCTCCTGTCTTTTGCAATGACCTTTTGGTGTCTTTACTTTCTTCACTCCCGTGTGTGGTGACAACTTATGGTTTAGCCCCTGCCCGCTGAAAAATCTCTGTTCATGGCTAGGGAAAGCGTTGGAGATATAGCTTTGATTTTATACATGTGCTCTTTTTCGTTGGCGTCAAAAACATTTATAATTATATTGAGAGTTAAGTTTCAAGAACCAGAATTAGTTTTCCAAAAGTTTATCTGTTCCAAATCTTTAAAAACTACTTCATTCGACCTATTTTATCTATCTTACTTTTCTTTTTTGGATTGTCCCAAAATAAATGACACCTTTTTGAAAAGAAATATGTGATCTACATCATTTCACAATCACAACTTTTACCTTTTCAATCACTTTATTAATAATTGTGTCAAAGTCAAGGGAGACGTAAAATGGGATGGAGGTAGTACTTCCTTAGAGCGGTAAGAAGTGGTTGTAATGATTACGGATTACCCAAGCAGTCCTGAATTAGCTTTTCTTCTGTGAAGGAGTATAACTGTATAAGTAGTTTCAAATAGGAGATTCAAACCCTTTAATTGCGGGGTTTGGCCAATAATTAGCTGGAAACACAATTTTTTATTGTTGTCCTAATTCAGGTGTTTTGCAGGTTCTTAATGAAAGGACATATGTTGCTGTAACTTTTAAGCAATATGTTAAAGATTGTTGAGTGAAATAGTTTAGACCAGTCACTCATGGCCTTTTGGAAGGAAAAATCGCATGTTAATCTGCTTTGTTGATAGCTTGAATGACACTGAACAGGAATCATTCCAAACCTTAATATGATAGTTTCGAACTTCTTGTGGCCTATTTTCTAAGCCTTCTCTAACGCAAGCGCAATTAGGGATTGACTCAGGCCGGGTCAACTGGTCCGAAAAACGGCCCAACACTGTTTGGAACCGGCCCGACTCGGGACTGGGATCGGGCTCGAACCGAGGGGTTTCTGGGCGGGTCAGGGGTTCTTTGGTACCCGCCCAGCTAGGTCGGGCCCGGTCCGGGCCAAATGTTTTTCCAAATTTTTGGGAGGTAAATGGGTTAGGCTAGGTGTTTTGGAGGGGTTTGGGGGTGGGGGAGAGCTAGGAAGTAATTAGAAAATTAAAAAAGAGGGTATTCGGCCCGACCCGGACCCGGTAGCTACCCGGACCGGTTTCGGGTCTCAACAAAACAAACAAGCCCGCCCTGAACTGGCCCGGGTCCATCCCTAAGCACAATGTTCGAGAAAAATGTTGTTTTTCACTTTTTCATGCCCTGAAAACAAGCTCCCGAGCATAAACAACAAATGGTAAATCCATATTTAGGGGAATGAAACTTATGAAAGACACGTGACCTAAACACATTATGAGAGACAAGAAATATAGACCAAAACCAAATGGCACTAGGGGTGGATTCGGTTCGGGCCACCCGGCTCATGACCCGGCCCGACCCGGTACTGTGCGGGCCTGGGATCGGCCCGGTCGGGCGGTCTGGGACCGGGTGTAGACCTGAACCGGTGGGAATGGGCGGGGCGGGCACGGTTCAGGAAAAATGCGACCACCGGCCGGGCCGGGTCGAGCCCGGGCCCGGGTCCGGGTCCAACGGTCATATTTTAAAAAAATAAAAATAAATGGCTACTAACCGTTATGGGTGGGCTGGGGACAACCCAAACGGCTACTAAATGGCACTAAGTCCATGAGAAGATGTGAACAGAAATCCCAAAATTCATTCAACAATTAAATTTAGAAAATTAATTACTAAAGACATAAAAACTAAGAATATGTGATGGTGACTTCAACTTCAACACCTGGTTCAATGGTTATTGAGGTTATCTGTTTGACAACTTCGGGTGAACTGGAGAGGTCAATCACCCTCTTGTGTACGTGAAGTTCAAACCTGTCCCAAGTGTTGGTACCTGTTTCAAACACAATATGTCACAAACAAAACCTAGACTCTAATATGTCTTTAACATAAAATAAAGATTTCATCCCATATTTCGTTCCTCAACAACTCCACAGGTTTTGGAAGAAAACAAAGTAGATAGTTTTCATGATCTGATTGTAAGTGTGTAACTTCTAAAAGAAAGAAAATGTAGTATGGCTGCACAAAATATGAAAACTAAAATCATAGATAAAAAGAATAGTAGAGAAAATATAAAAACTACTGGAATTCAAATTAGGGAAACCTTCTTATGGAGCATTGTTTAGAACAGACACAAATGGAGAGTACGTCTGCCAGAAAGGGACATGAGTATATTACTCAATTAGGCGGATTCAGGCCATTAACTTTCTTTGGGACTTGGCCTTCAGTTGCAGTTTAAGGTCAACTTAATACCCATGCACATATTTTACTCTATTTCTGAAGCTTTTAATTAGTTGATGTCCAAATACAATCATCAATGAGTCTATAAGCTAACAAAAATGGGTCTGAACATATATGAATCACAACAAAACTATGTCCAAATTGCATATACAAGGCCAAGGACCAAATTTAGTATCAATCTATGACATCAATTAATGTATCTGTTTCAAAATCAAGACCAAAAAACTTTGAAAACAAGAACTTACCATTCTTACAAAAAAGTTAAATCAAAGTAAAAGAGCATAATTACCTTCTCCCCGTGGAGCCTTTCTAGTAGTGATAAGAAGGACCTTCGTGGGGATCCTAACTGGTCCCTTCACCCTAAGCGTCTTGTCCTTGGCACCTCTGATCAAATCACTTCATTTGAGCATACTTACCTTCTCCGCATGGAGCCTTTCTACATTATCATATACTACCTCCGTCCCTATATAAAAGTATCCATTCATTTTACACACATCTTAAGAAAGTGGGTTTGGTTGGTACTGTTTGGCACTGTTTGGACACTGTTTGGCACTGTTTTGCACTGTTTTGTTTGCCAAAAAAGGAAAGGGAACTTTTATTTAGGGACGACCCGAAAAGGAAACAGATGCTTTTATTTAGGGACGGAGGGAGTATCTTTTAATTCTACATTAGTTTTTATTTGTAAGTAAGTCTACCCACTAATCCCATCAAGAAAAACTATGTGTCACAAAAAGTTATGGGAAAATGAAATTGAAAGAATAATAAACATTCAGGAAAATGTAAGAAAAAGAAAACATTTGAGAAAAATTAAATTAAATTTTCCCTAATGTTTTATTTTTCTTTAAATTTCTTGAATGTTTTATTTTTCTTTAAATTTTATTTTTTCTTAATCTTTTTATCACATAGAGATTTTCCACAATTGATGGAATTGATTGGTGGACTACTTAGAAAAATATGATAATGAAAAAAGGAGAAAAAATATATTGATGGTGGAATTAAGATAATAAGAAGGGCAAAAAGAAGAAAGAATAAAAAACCCTAAAAAAGGTAACAAGAATAAAAAAGGGAGAAAATGAAAATAAAAAGAAAATATAACAAAAAGTAGAGTGAGAAAAAGATTTTTAATAAGAAGATAAACACAAAAAGGGAAAAGAAATAAAAATAGATGAAGAAAAAGGGAATGACAACAAACCCATTTGGGAAGGAAATTGTACAAAAAACTCTCTTAGTAGAGTGAGAAATAGAAGTATGGAAAATAAATAAGAACAAAAAAATGGGATAAAGTGTGTAGGGATAGAAATAAAGAAAGAAAAATTTTAGGGAGTAAAAAGAAAAAATGAAACATGAGACTATTTTGAGCAGGTTTGTGAAAGGTGTTAAGATATGTAAAGTTTCCCCAATTTCGAGAATTTTGAAAAATAATTGACAATGATAATCCATGCTCAATTTAAAATGAATATCAATTCATTTATTTGAATTCGCCATATTTCGAAATGATTTTAATTATAATTATTCAAAGACTCTTGTTTTCCATATTTACTACTCCCCAATACAATAAATGGTTTCCCCCATCTTCCCATCCATTTCCCGTCTAACAATGTAACATATTACATATTTTCAAAGTCTTTTTCTCACTTCTCTCTAAACTCATAAACATACCCTTAGAGTGTATTTGGGAGTTGGGTTTTGGAGGGGAGGGGAAGGTTGATGGGGTTTATGTCCCTTTTTTTTATGTTTGGGAGTTTATTAAATTGGAGGGGTGATTTTGGAGGACTTTTGTGACCCTCCAAAACACTCTAAATGCTCAATTTTTGAGTTCCATATCCCCTAATTTAGAGGGTTTTGAATGATAATTAACAAAATGGTAATTCAGGCTCAATTAAAATTAAATATCAATTCAATTACTTGAATCCATCATATCTCAAAGTGATTTTATTTATAACTAGTGTTTTACCCAGGCGATGCCCTGAGCGAATGTTGTGAATGTTTGAATACTTTGTAAGATATATTTTATAGAATATATAAATAATTCATCATTTTACTTCAAACAAACGTTCACTAATTGTAGATTGTGATTTAATTAAAGATAATATATTAAAAAGTTTCATTGTAGTGTAATACTACATACATCAAACATCTCATTGTTAAGTTTTGAGAAACCTCCTTATAAACAACATTTACAGTCTTGGTGAAGAAATTTGCTTCTTTTGAAAGTACGACTCTTAAGATGTCTTTACTCATTCCTCTTGGTATTGCAATGCACAATTGATCATTATTAATGAAATTTATCTCTGAAGGTATAATTATTGGTCGTCCGTGCATTGCATGGATTCAACCTATAGTATTAGTATATAAATTGAAGGGAACATGAACTATACAAAACATTTCAACATATACGTATTTTATCGGAGAAGATTATACAAAGTATTTCAAAATACCAAATGAAAGGTTTACAAATTTTGTATGGTTTCAAAATACTCAATATTTACGAATTCATGAAGAACATGATCAAAAGATTCTATCAAAAATCTTCATCGAGAACCGCTTCGAATCGTGGCGGCCGGACGGCGGAATTAAGGAAAGAGGTGAACTTTTCTCGAGTATAATAGTATGAATTTAGGACTTAATTGCAATTAATGACTATTCACTAATTGGGTTCAATAACAATTTATTGATAACTCAATTTCAATTTGAAGGGTATACTTTATTATTAAGTAAATAGATTCATTCAAAAACTTT